AATACAAATGATATTTTATCTGTATTAACTTACTATTAATCTACACTTACGTATTAAGGCTGTTTTAGGAGTTCAAGCACACTGCGATTTGAAATGGGCGTATCACTTACATTTCTACACTGCTTACGCGAGATTTTCTTCAAAGTTGGAACACGCTTTTCTCCATTATTACTGTACACGGAAAGGTGAAAAAAAAATTACGTTTGATTACAGAAAAAAAGACTCTTTCAAGTGATGGGCGTAAAAAGGTTGGTTATAATAGAACGTTAAACAGTATAATCCAATTTTTCAACAGAAGTTTCAAAAAAATAAAAAAAGTAAAACCATCATTTTAAAAGCAACATAATTTCGAATATTGTGACCAAATTTCGAGACATTTTGTCGGTAAATAATAGTCCCTAGATTTTGGTGCACCGATAAAACAGCCTTAATAATAATAGTACAGTAGACCCGCGATTATCAGAAAATTATTATCCGATTATTATTTCGGGCGAAAAACTCGGCCGATTTATCTAAAATTGAGCCGTTTAATTTAAAATTGAGAGATCTCATTTAAGTTCTCATGTCCCAGCAAATCTTTAATTGTGACGAAACGGGTCTTAATTTCAGTATGATTCCAACCAAAACACTGAGAGCCCAAAGTTAAGAAACTGCACCTGGATACAAAAGAAGCAAAGAAAAAGTAACTCTTTTGATGTGTAGCAACTCTTCTGGATCCTTAAAATTAAGACCCCTACTTATTGGAAAATTAAAGAATCCAAGGGCTTTTAAAAATATTTAAGTAAACTGCCTACTCACCATGTATAGAAATCAACGTAGTGCGTGGATGGATTGCCAAAATTTTTTAAAGATTGGTTTTTTGACGACTTCGTTTCCTTTCTGTTTTCTTGCCACCAAACGTTACATCTCTCATTCAACCTCTGGACCAAGAAGCTTTAGAGGCTATGAAGCGGAACTATCGTCGAAGGCTTCTCCAAGTGTTGTGTACCTGGTTGGATGAGGGAATGACTGTGACAGCAGCACTTAAAAAGATCACCGTTAAGGATGTGTCTTACTGGATAGCTTCTGCGTGGGATGATGTGAGAGTAACAACTTTGCAAAAGTGCTGAAATAGTAGACCTTGCTAATCAGTTACCAACGAAACTGCCGATAAATAATGTAGACGTCAACGACTGGATTATGCAAGATCAGCAAATGTAACTGACTGATGATGCAACAGCCGATATGGATATCAATCCACACAATGTCAGTGAGGATGACACAGATTTGTTAATCAAGAAAATATCTCACTCCGAAGGATTAAAGGCGATTGGAGCTGCTCTCTTCTATACTGATTAACAGAAAGAGTCAACCTCTACCAATGTCCTTTATCTACAGTGTTAGCGGAAAATCACAGCCTCAAAACGAGGCCAGAAGTTGACGCAGAAATCTATCAAAGACTTTTTTAAAACATGAAGATGATCCATTACGTAATAACTTTTCTGGCTCTACACATAGGTAAACCATACTATGTTCAGAGACAATTTTAGGGCAAGTTACCGACTTTTTCATAAATACCAAGTCCACTTCCAGTCAGAGGTAAACAACACCATGTGGACTTGGTGTTGTTTACCTCTAGTAAATGTGTGCATTGTCATTTACCATCCGGACATAGTGTTATGTACCCTTGTATCTGGCGGAATTGTCATGAACTAAAATCATTGCAACCTTTTTATTTAGATCGCAATTGTGTTAGATTGATAAAAGTTGTACAATAAATTCGTTGTTTAATAATTGTAAAATGGATCCAAACTCTCGTGGAAAAAGAATATTACAATTACTGTCATGTAATATTCCAAATAAAACAACACTTACAGGTAAGTTATTGTTTTTTAACACTGATTTTGTATTCTTCTAACCTCAAATATTTAGTATTGTATATTATTTTGTATAGGGCTCATAATTTCAAACTGTACATACATTTTTTGTATCTAACGTTAAAATAGAAGTATCAGTTAGTATGTTCTTGTGTAAAGAATTTTGTCTGTTTTTTTTAAATGACCAATATATGGTATGATTGTTATCAGTTATTTATGTAACATGCATTGCCATTTATGTTATTGTGTTGTAGGCATAGATAGAAATTTACCAAGCAATTATCAATATATACTCGCATGAACAAAATACTAAAGAGATTGGGTAAAATTTATTTACCGTTAGGCGTAACCGGTACCTATCACAATAATTGTTGTTGTTGTTGATACCAACAGATTAGGGTAAACAGATGTTGCCAGATCTATATTTTTTAATGGAAGTAACGAAAATTGCTCAGTAAATTTGTTTATAAGGAATATTTTTGTGTTGGCCAATTATAGGCCTATAAAATTAGCCTATAATTATTATTACAAGGCTGAATTTGTTTCAGAACCACCTGGTCACTACAGTAACTTCCAAGGTAATGGTAAGGAAGTGGACGAAGATGATAGTTTGTTTGGAGATGATAATTCAGATATTGATATAACCTATGAGCCTCTAAGCTCAGAATCAGACGACAACGATATGAGACGTATAAGTAAACCAGCGAAAACAAAGGTAAAGGAGAAAGCTATTGTTACTCCTACGTCTAGTGGGGCAATAACAAAAAATCTTCTTAAGGACGATTTATCCCTAAGCAGTGATGCAGGCAATTCCAATGAACATAATAAAGTTATTTTAGAAGAAGAGAAAAGTGTTAACAGAAAGGTACACAATGTAACTAAGTGTAAGCAAAAAGGCAAAAAACGTGTAGTAAATGAACAAAATTGGGTCTGTAATGTTCGCAAATGAACAAAAGCTGGTGGGAAAGAGTATCTGAGTAAAAAAGGCAAAAACATGCCTGCAAAAATGTTAAAGCTTCCTTGCATGTGTCACATGAAATGCTCTGAAAGGTTGCCAGAATACGAAATACAAAAATTTTTTAACTCATACTGGACTCAGACAAACGTTTCAGATGTTAAAAAGCAAATTATCTTCTCATGTGTCGACATCCAACCTACTCTTCGATTAAGAAAAAAAGACCTAAATTCTACCAAATCTAAAAATAATACACTACACTACCATTTTACAGTGAACAATCTGCGATTGAGGGTGTGCAAGGTTATTTTTTTAAACACACTTTGTATATCTAATTTAGTAGTAGTAAATATTTGAAAAAAATTGAGCCAGGAGGTTTAATAAAAGCTGATCAAAGAGGTAGACACGCGCTAATCAATAAAACTCCTACCGAAACCATAAGTAGTATACATCAACATATTAAATCATTTCCAAAGTGCGAAATTCATTATTCCAGAGAAAGGAGTAAGAGAGATTATTTTGGCACAGAACTTACGATAGAAAAGTTGTATCAACTGTACATTGATGAATGCAATGAAATACATGTAGATCCAAAGCTCAGAGTAAAAAGTAATTGGACGCAGATATTTTTAATAAAGACTTCCAAGTTTTCGTTTCAACCACCCGAAATAGACACTTGCGATACATGCAGTACATTCACCGCTCAATTGAAAAATAATCTTACTGCAGATGAACTAACCAGTGTACAGGCTGATCATGATACTCACCTAATTGAATTTAAAACTCGGTATAACTTACAACAATTGGACTTTTTAATGGCTAAAGAGTCACCAAAAGACAAAGTACTATCTGGTGATTTGCAAAAATGTTTGCTTTCACCACTAACAAACAATTGTATTAGTTTCTACAAAAGGAAGCTTTTGTAGAAGCAGTGATTCTTCTGTACAATGTATGATGTCCCTGTACGAAAGGGTCCCGAGGTGCAAATGAAATTACCTCGTGAATTTTGAAATGGGCTGACAATACAATTCCAGGTAGTCAAGTAGAGGACATCACTCTTTGGATCGATAACTGCTATGGACAAAATAAAAATATAAGTATTATAATGTGCCATTTTTGGATAGCTGTGGACGCGATTAGCTGATTGATGATTTTTGGATACTCAAATAAAGACAATCACTCAGAAGTTTTTACTGAAAGGGCACACACATATGGAAGCAGACAGTGTTTATGCTTTAATCGAGAAAAAAAGAAAGAAACTCTCCAATTTGGCCATTTTAACACTATGGGACTGGCAACAGCTAGTTAGGCAAACATCAGGTAAATACGTAGTGTACAATATGGAACTTGCAGATTTTAAAAACTTCAAAACGGTGTTCGATAAGAAATTGTTACTTAATCCTCCTTTTGTAAGCAGAAAAACGATGTTAATAAAGATCCTGTTCTACTGTCATTATGTGTTGACTCCTACAAGTCCAACAAGAAAACATTGGAAAGCTCTTTTATAAGACCGATTTCAATAATCAAAATATGTATGAAGTGGACTTTATGAGGTATCGAAGACAGCAAGTCACGTTTCCAGCTCAATTAAATCAAGTCTCAGTAAACCCATTACCAATCAGAAAACAAACATTTAATGACTTCATTACCTTACTGCCTTTTTCCGTCAGTTTGTCATGCATTTTATCAAAATTTAACACATAGCGATGTAGCCACAAACGATTACTCACAAGAAGATGAAGATGATATGGAGCATCTTTAACAATTTTGAAACTTGTCGTCTATAATTTTATTTTATTTAACTTTTCTTAATTTAATTATTATAACATTATAATATTTACCTCTAATAAAATAATAGTAAAGCCTGTTTAGTGTATTTGTATTATTTATTTCGTAGAGACCTTAACATGCAATGTCACATTATTTAAAAAATTATTAGAGGTAAACAACACTATGTCCAACTACACATTAAAAAAAATATAATGAACGGTAAACTTAAGGTATATAACACTTCATGGAAGGAAAAACGATTGTTAAAATTCCTTAATTGCAATAAAATTTGCATACAATTTTCACAGTCGAATAATTACTAGTAATATAAATACAAAAAAAAACAAAATTACAGTTCAAAAGCTAAGTAATAGAGTATCAATTTAAATAAACCATGTTTATATTCTTCCTATTCTTAGACTCATTAAACTTTATCCAGTGCGTTAGAATTTTGGGAATCTTTCCCACACCCTCATATAGTCACCAGATCGTTTTCCAACCGATATGGAAGGAGTTGTCATTACGAGGCCACAATGTCACCGTCATCACTCCTTATCCCCTTTGTGACTCAAGTTTAACAAACTTGACAGAAATAGCCGTTTCTTTCGTGTACGGTAGAGTAGCAAAGTACGGATGGCCAAAGGAATATTTGAAGTTTCCTTCAACGGTGCATAGACTGGATTACGTGCTTAATTACGGAAATGACGTGACAATGGCAGTTTTGGAATATGGACCAGTACAACATATCATTGATCAGCATGATACGTTTGATTTGCTGATAGTGCAGCTGTCATTCAACTTAAATTTGCTGTTGTATAGCTTGGCGTTTAAATTTCATAATCCAATTGTTGGTAAGTCTTTGTAAATTGAGTCAATTTATTTTATTTTATTTAAATAAACTTTATTTTTGTAATTGGTAACAATTGGTAACGGATTTCAAAAAATCTGCGGGCACCTGTTTGTCCCCAAAGCCATGTTAAATTTCTTTAAAAATAAGAATACGCTACGTAGAAGCTCTTTCGTCTCTTTTTAACATGTTACACACATATCTTCTTAATACAGTGCATTAAGTAACGGGGATACGAATTAGTAAAGTAGTTTACTAAAAACCGTTGAAGTGTGAAGGTGTCAACAAGTGGCCATTTTGTATCATTCTGGTGTAGTAAGTACGGTAAGCACGTGTTGTTTTCTAAGCCTATAACTTTATAATTTACGGAAATATTAGAACAGTGGGCACTTTACGGCTTACTATACACATAATTATTTAAGTTAAAAACCAGACTATGTTTTAAATATTTTAAATAGTGTATAATTCCCGCATGTTCAACTACTGGTTTGAAATTTTCTAAAAATCCAGTAAATAAACGCTGTGTTCATTCATTGCATTTTACACAAATTATTTTTTTAAGCAAAAATCGACTTTAAACATACCCTAAATAGAAGTGAACTAACCTAACCTATATTAATTTAAAATATTTGCTAGTAAACCAGTAAATGAACGGTGTTCATTCAATGGTGTTCATTTACTAGTATTCAATTATTACAAAGTAATTTTTTTAGATGGCTGCAAAATATTCACGTTTTAAATACACGGAGGAAGCTTTAGACGCGGCAATCAACGAAATTCAAGCCGAAACAATTTCCTTAAATAAAGCTTCTTCTAAATATGGCATACCGAAATCCACTTTACATAAAAAATTAACGGGAAAAGTGCCTTATATTCGAAAATGGGACCCTACAGTGTTGAGTTCTTACGAGGAAAACAGATTAGTGAATTGGATTGTAGCAAAAGCCAAATTGGGATTTCCTATGCATCCCAATGAGGTTAAGGATTCCGTGCAAAGGTTCTTAAAGAATCTCATAGAAAAAATAATTTTACTGATGATCGACCAGGAGGTAAGTGGTTAAAGCTGTTTCTTCAGAGGCACCCAGAAATTTCAAAACGAAATACAGAAATTATCTTCAAATCTCGTGCTTCGGTTACTGAGGATGGGATTAGGCAATGGTTTTCAGAACTTATCAAATACTTAACGGACACAAAAGTATTAGACATGATGTCTGATCCATCTCGAATTTTTAATGCGGATGAAACCGGCATGAGAACATGTATGATGTCGGGTCTGTTCTGGGACCCTCCAAAAATTTTAAAAATCTCTATAAAATCGCAGGTGGGAACGAGAAAGAATCAATCACAGTACTGTGTAATTATGCGGCAAACGGTACGACGATCTCACCAATGATTGTTTTTCCCTACAAGAGAATTCCTAAAGAACTGGCTCTTTCGGTGCCAAAAGGATGGGCCATTGGAAGGTCCGATTCAGGTTGGATGACCAGTGCAACATTTTTTGAGTATATTGCAAATGTATTTTATCCTTGGCTAGTAGAAAATAGCATAATATTTCCAGTAATCCTTTTCCTAGATGGACATAAGTCTCACTATAATTTGGACCTTTATGAGTTCTGTATCAAACACAGAATCATCCTTTATTGTCTGTACCCCAACTCGACCCACATACTACAGCCTTGTGATGTCAGTATATTTAGACCTTTAAAACTTGAATGGAAATCAGTATGCCGCCTTCATAAACAAAAGAGTAGTACACCAATTACTCGCCATAATTTTAGTATGCTTTTTAAAGAAGCTTTTGATGAAGCTTGTAAGGAAAGAACCATTATAAATGGATTCAGGATTTGTGGCCTTTATCCATTAAACCCTGATGCAGTTGATTATACAAAGTCGACCCGACAAAATGAAATCTTTCAGAAATGACTCAGTACCGAATTGTCAGTAGAAGATTATAAATGTTCCTTAAAAGTATTGGCATACTATTTACATATCAATAATATTACAAATTTTTCCAATGACATACATTCTTTTCTAAAATTCTGTGAACAAAACATACAAGAGCCAAAGGCTTTTGACTACAGTGGCGCTAAGTTGCCCACTTCGACTGAATTATATAATGGACCAGGCGAAGAATTGTTTAACGAGTCGTTTTTAGATAATATACCAATGGATGCAGAATATACAAGCGATAAGGAAAATAATGTGAAAAAAAGAAAACTGCAGACGGATCTAAAGAAATCAATAGCTAAAAATAAAAATTTATCCGGAAAAGAAACCAAGAAGATCAAATTAACGATAAAAAAAGAGGGATCAGACAAGAAAAAAAAATTGAAAGAGTTGATGGATGAAGTTCGAGAAAGTAAAGGTAATATTAATGATTATAAAAATTTGAATCAAAAATATAACTTTTCTCATTTTAGTTGAAATGAAACAAAACGAGGCGGAAACAACTAAACCTGACGATGTTGGAAGCAATGAGGATAAGATCAAAAATAAAATGCATATTCTAGTAACATATATATTCTAATAATATATTTATATATATTTATAGTTTTTGAAGTTGGAGACTTTGTACTCGTGATTTACCATAATAAGAAGTACCCAGGTTTGATAAAAAATATAGATCAAGAGGCCCAAGAATATGAGATCAGTGTTATGGAAAAAATTAAAAAAAATATTTGGCGATGGCCCAAAAGCTTAGACCAAATTTGGTATAAAAAAAAGTTTATTTTAAAAAAAATTTTGGAGCCGATATCTACTGAAGGCAGTACATATCAAATAAATTTACTTAAGTAATCATAAATAATTATATTATTAAAACTTTTTAAGAAATGAACCTATGTTCATTTACTTGTATTGCAGTTTTCATTAATTGGATGAGTCCGTTCATTTACTGGAATTATTGACACTTTTATATAAAATCGGCAAACTCGTTAAAAGCAGTAAGTCTATCATAATTTTTAAAGTTCCGACCAACAGATAAATGTTTAAACTTTATCTTTACACAATTATTGGCTACTGCAACCAATGTAAAATCGATTTGCAGGTCCTCTAACTGAAAACTTCTCTTATTTGTTCATTCACTGGTCGAGCGACCCTATATAGTAATTTAATAGAAATATAAAATTAAACACGAAAAAAAATAAAGACAGTAATAATTTATCTACGTAAAACGAATCATTTTAGGATTCCTTCATAAAAAGCTATTTTAAGAGATAGCTGTTTATTCCTGCTATCTAAGTCCACTATAATAATCCTAAAAGAAATGGCAATACATCAAAAACATACTACATCAATGAAGTGGTTTCTTGTTTGAAAGAAACTTTTGTAAAGGCGAGGACTGACAGTTTCCATCAGTCCATCGACGAATCAATGACTAAGTTCAAAGGAAGATTTGATCTGAAGTAGTATCTTCCTATTAAGCCAGTAAAAAGAGGTATGAAAATGTGGTAACGAAGTGACTCTTAAATATTGGAGAAATCTGCAAGAAAGACTCTAGAGTATCAATTGTTTCGCCGAACGTTCACGCCAAAGAGAATTAATTTGGCTTCTTCGGGGCTAAAAGAGAAGAAATTATAATTAGCTACCATATATTATCTATTTAAAAAACACTGGAGATGTTACTGTAACTTAGAATTGTAGAGTTAGGATGTTAAAAAAAACTAAGCTAGTAACAACATAGTGGTTTTTTGTTACTATGGGAAAAAAGTTATCGTTAAAAATGTATGGTAGCTTTGAACTTGAAACGTAAAGGTGTACCCCAGGCTAAACGAAAAAACCTAATGCAACCACATTTTAAAGGAACTAATTCTTTGAGTTTTCGGCAATAACTAAATTTTTGATTGTTGGAAAGTTTAGATGTGAGATTCTGTTTTACCAGAACGCATGCGCTGACATGTCAAAGTAGTTCTTATGATTATTTATAATGTCGTTAAGGTTCATTGGCGTAACAAAATGAAGTTATTTCCCAGTTTAGGGTAATATTATTATTCTAAATTTTTCTTAATTAAAAATATTTATATTATATTATTCATGTATTATTATTATAATATCTTCTTGAGACCGCGACGAAGATGACCGCGACCAGTGGAGAAATATTATCAATCAAACTGTCCGAGCTGCTGAAGCCCAATTATGAACCACAACACATCTATATATATATATATATATATATATATATATATATATATATATATATATATAAGGTTCTTGAACTCCTAAGTGGAGCATAGAGCTTCAGTGAAAACGCGCCATCGGGTTCTATTTTGCGCTAAGGCCTTCACCTCATTCCAAGACTTTCCTTGTTTTCTTATCTCGTCCATGATGGATCTTCTCCAAGTTTGTACTGGGCGACCTTTTTTTCGTTTTCCTTGGGGATTCCACTCTAGGGCAGTCTTTGCAATACTGGAGTTATTTTTTCGGAGTGTGTGACCGATCCAACCCCACTTTCTGGACTTTATTTCATTTTCTACCCTCTTTTGTTTGGTCAGGTGTAGTAAGTCTTCGTTTCTGATGATGTTAGGCCAGAAAATACGAACAATTCTTCGTAGACATTTATTAACAAAGACCTGCAGTTTGTCTGTAAGGGTTTTTGTCGCTTTCCAGGTTTCACATCCGTAAAGTAGTACAGACATGATATTTGACTGGAATATGCGGATCTTTGTCCTCGTAGTGTATTCTCCAGACCTCCAAACAGGGTTGAGCATGCTGAAAGCTTGTTGCGCTTTTCGTATCCTCATACGAATATCGTCTTCTGTACCTCCGCTTTCTGTTATGACACTTCCAAGATACGTAAAGTTTTCCACATTTTCAATCTGCATGTTATTAATGGTGAATAGCGTGTTGTTTCTTGCATTTATTCTCATGGATTTGGTTTTACCAATATTGATTTTCAAACCTATTTTATTGGCTTCAGTGGAAAGTGTTTCCAATTGGTCAGCCACATCTTGGAACCTTTGTCCTAACAGGCAGATATCGTCGGCGTATTCTAGATCGCTTAGGCGTGTGGTTAACGTCCATCCACAACACATCTACTAAGATGTTAATGACTGTGATGATGATGATCTTCTTGAGATGTGTCTAAGAAAAGCAAGGGAAGGTTATCTTTTTTAATTAATTAAAATGATTATTTAAGTGGGTTAGTTGCTAATCGTGGACAAAGAGAGTATCAATGATTCCTGGAAAAATTACATAAGAAATTTATTTTTTGATGAGAGAGAGAACCAGCCCCCAATACTTACGGAAATAGGACCACCTATACTAGTGGCAGAAATAAGAGCAGCCATAATATAACTAAAAGAAGGTAGAGCTCCAGGACCAGACGGAGTACAATCTGAATTTCTTAAACTTCTTGATGATGAATCTTTAAGAGTACTATGCAAAATCTTCAATAATATCTATGACACAGGCAATATCCCAAAAGATTGGCTACTTTCAGAATTTATTACCTTACCAAAGAAACAGGGAGCGAAAAAGTGCGGAGACTATAGGCTAATAAGTCTAATGAGCCATACATTAAAACTTTTTCTTAAAATTATACATCGTAGAATGTACAAGCTATGCGAAGAGAGAATACAAGACACACAGTTTGGATTCATGAAAGGCGTAGGTACAAGAGATGCACTGTTTAGTCTACAAGTATTATTTCAAAGATGCAGAGATATGACTTGAGATATTTACACCTGCTTTGTGGACTACCAAAAAGCATTTGATACAGTTCAACAACAAAAAATGATGGATATTCTAACAAAAGCCCAAATGGATGATAAAGATCGGCGTATAATACAAAATTTATACTGGAACCAATCAGCCACAATAAGAACGAATTTTGGAGGTGAACCAACGGAAATGATCCAGATTCTACGAGGCGTTAGACAAGGTTGTATACTTTCACCTATATTATTTAATCTATATTCAGAGGAGAGGAAATATTTAGTGAAGCCTTGGAAAAATGCGAACATGGAATACTTCTAAATGGAGAACGCCTAAACAACATCCGTTATGCAGACGACACCGTTATTTTTGCAGACAGTTTGAACAGTTTACAGCAACTAATAAACAAAGTAAATGAAGTAAGTGAAAGATTTGGACTTCAAGTAAATATAACAAAAACTAAATTTATGATCATCAGCAAAAATAAAGTTAGAGACGCTCAACTACTTATCAATAATACACCAGTGGACCGAGTAAAACAGTATAACTATCTTGGAACAACAGTAAATGAACAATGGGATCACTCACAGGAAATAAAATGTAGAATAGAGAAGGCTAGGAGTGCATTTAATAACATGGCCAAACTCTTTAAAAGCCACAATCTTAATCTGGAGATAAAAGTAAGGCTCCTACGATGTTATATCTTCTCAATATTGTATTACGGAGTTGAATCCTGGACACTAACTGAAGCAATGGAGAAAAAACTTGAAGCCTTCGAGATGTGGCTATACAGGCGAATTCTAAGGATATCATGGACAGACAAGATAACCAACGAGACCGTATTACGAAGAGTGGCAAAGAAAGAGAGGTGATGTATACCATTAAAAGGAGAAAGTTGGAATATCTCGGACATATAATGAGAAACAGCACTAAATACAGATTACTGAAGGTAATCCTACAGGGTAAAGTATTCGGAAAGCGAGGAATTGGGAGAAGGAGAATATCATGGTTGAAGAACCTGAGGAAATGGTTCTCCACAACAACAACGAATTTATTTAAAGCAGCAGTTAATAAAATAATTATAGCCAGAATGATTGCCAATATTCGGAACGAATAGGCACTGAAAGAAGAAGAAGCTAATGGACATATCAGTCAAATTAGTTCCCTGTGATGTTTGTTCTTGTTATCGGATTTAAGTAAGAAGTGGTATATACTGCTTAGATTTCTAATGTGGAGCTCCGTGGAGTTCCACGTTGTTCTCCGAGTGCAGAGGTTCTCTCTCACCCGGCTCTGGAACCCAATTGAGCCATGTGTTACCTTTAGTCAAATTTAATTTAATATAGAACATCACAGTTATTTTATAACACAATGTACAACATTTCATAACTAAATGTAATTTAAAGGGTTTTTACCCTAATATTTTGGTGGCTCAGGCATTATGACCTAGCATTTTCGATTTTAATAACCTGATGATGGACTGTGTAGTCCGAAAACGTTTGTTTTATTGATGTGGCCCTTTTAAGGGTTTTTTAAATAAATATACCCATTTACAAAGATTAACCTTTTTTTTTTTTTTTTTTTAATAAAGGAATGACTAAGTCTAACACATAATTCCTTAACGATTTCTCCATCAATGTTAACAGTGACATTAGAAATCTAAGCAGTATATACCACTTCTTACTTAAATCCGATAACAAGAACAAACATCACAGGGAACTAATTTGACTGATATGTCCATTAGCTTCTTCTTCTTTCAGTGCCTATTCGTTCCGAATATTGGCAATCATTCTGGCTATAATTATTTTATTAACTGCTGCTTTAAATAAATTCGTTGTTGTTGTGGAGAACCATTTCCTCAGGTTCTTCAACCATGAT